GAGGTAGTATTGTATATTGTACTGCGACCAGACGCAAGACGCAGAATCAGAGGTATAGCTCAGAGCAAGTAACATTTGTAAAATGCCAAAACGACGGTTTTTCTAGGGGTGCTCGCTTGCTCAAATGAAATCGGAGAGGATCAACAGAATGTAAAAAAAATGTATTTTTCATTTCCAATTGTTCCTGGTTGAATCAATCGCATCATCAAATGCTACTGGGTGGAGTCACACAACGAGTTTCACCTTTGCATTGTCTCGTGATGACTGCTATTGTTCAAAAAGGTTGTTTCTGTTGAACTCTGCCACCTTTCGAGCCGCACCATGAATGACAATGAATGGTGGCAGGCAGAACAAGTACTAAGAAATATATTCAATACAGAGGCTCTCGAAAACGAACTTTCCTTCGCAACTGGGACCCCTTCGCTTCCCTTGCGAGTAAATGGAAGATTCCGTTATCGACACTTTCAAATTAACTTCCGAAAAATCTCGAAGGTTACGGTAAGGGACGTGGATTTCAAGAGGTGGTCTTAGTGAGGCCATGTTCGCTCTTGACGCTGAATGATTCATATTCTACTTCGTAGTGATCGGAAAAAGCAAAGGCTTCTAAAAACACATCGTTAAAAACCAGCCGTCAAAAAAAGGAAAAAGCTAAAAAGCATCCACTTCTACGTGGAAAAAGGCTGCTTGATTCCAGACGAGTTGGAGAACGTATTTCTAAATAAAGATTGAAATTCTGAATTACAATGGTGCCTGGCATAACAAATAATAGTGCAGCTGACTCTTACGAAGATCCTTTTCCCAATCGGCTCTGCTATGGTATTTATGGAGGGTAAAGCATAGGCTGAGAATAATCGTCCTCGTCTCAAAGACCCCGAAATTTCCTTCAAATACGATTTGGAGTACCCAGTCAACCTCCAAAAGATGTCAACCGGGAAGGACTCTGAACTAGCGATTTTGTCAAAACAATTAAAATAGCCCAAAGTGAATCAACTCCAAATGGCAGCATTAGAGACCCCAGGTCTCCTGGAAAGTTCAGAGAAAGAGAAAGAACGCTGTTGAACATAACTCTACAGATCATTCGGTTAGTCAGTCCTCCCTCTCGAACTAATCCTCTTAACAATGTTGGCATTCACTGGGCCCGTTTTTAACAGGAAATGATCACAGCCGAAGATATAAGGAATCAAACAGCGACGATGCTTCGGAGGAAAAAATTTCTGTCGGAGACTGAACTGGATGACAAATCGAACGAAAGACCATTCAGGGATCACTACAGCCATTCAATCACCTTTATTTTCCATTATATACTTTGAAAAAAAGACTTGATTCCATAAACACTATTCACAGGCACTGCCAGAGAAAAATAGCTCACTAACTCACAAAATGACAGCTACGATAAATTTGTTCCGGATGCGCCACGCATTCAACGTTGGCGCAAATATGCTGAGGAAATTTATTGCGCATTTTTCGGGTACTATAATAAGTTGCGTAGGCCAGCTAAAGCTCGAGCCGTTATCTTTCTTTCAGACAAATTAAAACAAACAAGAAGTTCGTCAAAAAGTGAAAAGTTTGAATGACCTCTACGCTTTTTTTTCAAGAAACATTTGAAGGCCAACGTTCTTCCCTGCTAACAAATCACCTTCAATCTGTATTTAGGGAGGTAACAAACTTTCAGCCTATATGATTGAATTAAGGGCCAAATGTATCAGTGATTTGATTATATGGGTTCATCGCGAATAAGTGAAGGAATCTTTTCTTCAAACACGTTATGCAATCGATTATAAAAAAAACACTCACTTCTCATGATAAAAAAAAACTAAAAAGTAACATGCGGTAGAAGGGTTGAAGAGAGAAGAAGAAAACAAGGCGATAAGTGCAACGAGACTGAAAAAACGTGACAAATGAGAGAAACATTGTTGTTGTATGGCCCGAATACATCATTAACCAGTCAAGAAGGGATACCATTCTGTTTCTCCCCGCGCGCTATCATTTATTACTATCAATTAACATCGCTGTCGACAAATCTCGTCCAGCTCTGCTCAGTTGACTTCGAATCAATTCGATCATTCCGTAAGCCTTCACTTCCACTCGGAGAACGATCAGCAGATTCTCTACAATTAGCAGGCTGCACCTTTGCAAGACTGATTCAATCCCAACCATAAATTCGCTTTACAACTGTACTATCCGGATTAACTTTATGAGGGTTTCGCACGACACCTGTCCTGTAAGGTCGTTACATGTATGCGCTATTTGTTCGGGATCCATACGTAGTAGGGCCTTTACACCACAATGACGCCGGTACGTTTTTTTTGAACCAATCTTTCCCTATGAATACGCTCTTCTTTCAAATAATGCATCAGGCCCGAAAATAATGTTTTTAATTCTAGCTATAATACTTTGCAACTTCTTCCTAGTACTTTGAGTTTCGCGTTTGATATAGTTTAAACTTAGCGGATATAAAGCTTGCGCAGTGGTTGAATCGAGCTTGAGTACTAGCAAGACCTAGATCGAATTTAGACCTGTCGAGTAAGAGTCTAAATCTTGTCGTGATCGATCATTCGTACGACAACTTTACGTCTGGTGATGACAAAAAAAAAAGAAGAATGATAAATGAGAAAAGAGATGGTGACCAAGAGACTTCCGGCTAGACTCCTATTATAACTTGGACCTCAACGGGCAACCGATAACTTAAAAATACAAAGCCAATCAGTTAAGAAGAAGTTTTTCTAGAAAAGTTGCAACTGGCATAATAGCTACGGCAAGGTTTGCGTCCGCGCTAGAAGAGGTCCCGTAAGAGGCCGCATCTGGCCATTCGACCGTAATAGAGCAAGTCGCATTCGTGTCAGAAAAAGACATAGGGTTAGGATTGGGTAGGAATCCGATTGATTTCAAAGGGATTTTCGTATCTGAGGTGCTATCACCATCCCATACACCCCCAATTATCTGGAAAAAGATGTTCAGGATGTCGAGAGACAGAGAGGAGGGAGGAGGGCTTCATCAACGGAACGGAACTATTTCACGTGACGCAAGGTGCCCAGTCATGTGAAGGGGAGTGTTCCGTTCAATTTATGACATTATCCTTTAATAATCATTACTATAGATAATATTTCAACAATGGACTGTATTAAAATAACTTTCCTAATGCTGATTAGCTTGAAGGAACTCGAAAAATTATTAGTTGGACAGAAAAACTATAGAAATAGTAAATCTTTTACAACTTTCCTACAGTAGAAACCACTGCCTTTGAAAAAGGCGATGAGTCTGGCGTGGAAAATCGTTAGAAAAAAAAGAGTGCGACGGCTCGAAAATCAACCTCAAATTCTGTATAAGTAGTATCATTATTTAGAGTAGTTTTCATTTTTTGTAATATGGTGAACAATCTACGTCCGGACCTAAGTAAAGGTATAAAAATTTTGAAAAAATATTTGGTTTAGATATATAAGGATTTGGTAACATCAGAGAATTGGCTGCGGAGGAATCGTTCGAATGGTATTTGTGAGACAAAATCAGTAAACAGATAGGGGGTTGGGGGCAAGTAATAAAAGTGGAGATAAGTTTTTTTAGTGAAATTATTAAGATTTTCTGTCTGTGATAAGGCCTGCAACGGTTACACTAGTCCTTTTTAATTGCCATCAACTTTTTACATTTCCGATCTGTACGATCGGACAAGAGAGTTTGAAAGTGATCACATGTTGCCGATTTTTTCATCCACCTTACGAGTAATCTGAAGCGATCGCCCCCGATAATTCTGATTTGAGCAAAAAAAAGTTTGAAAGAAGCTCGAGCAAGTAAGCAATGGTGGGCTGGTTTGGATCGCCTAGTCCCTATTCACCGCCTATGATTGAGCCGATGACTCGAGATGAGTAGAAGCAAGTCACAGAGATCTCTCATGAATGTTTGCTGAGGTGGGTGGTGCTAAGTGGGACACTATCATGCATGGTCCAAGGATCGAACACCAGGCTGATACACGCCTAGGCCAACCCAGCTTTTCATCCCTCAGGGGTTGATTAATTGGTACCACACATGCTTGGGAAGATGAAGCACTGACTCGTACTTTCGCTTCTTTACCCCAAATCATTGTATAGGCTACTGTATTTTCTCAATCACCATTCAAACATTACTATGATTGTGAATGAAGTCGCGTGCAAGACGCTTCACAAAATGGGATTCAACAAGGCCGAAAGACTTCACCTTCTTTTATGCTTATGGATGTTGCTAGAGCTCTGCTCTGGGAAAGAAGAGATTCTCCCATTTTTTTCCAGAGATAATTCCCACTTGCTTACATGGATTTTCAAATGTTTGCTCCTATCCCTAAATTTCCAGAAAACCTCTGGAAAACTTCGCTCAAGAAGAAACCAGGTTCTCTGGGGTATAAGCATAGAAAAGCATCAGATCGTCTCGTTGATCAACTCCTTCAGGCCGCGCCATGCGTCTGACTAAAATTCGTCAGTCACCGTGGGCTGACTTCGTAAGGCTGTATTACTATTCTCAATATTAACTTGAGGTACAACCTCCATAACTCTATTGATGAGGAACGTTGAAACCTGTATCTTAACTACCGATTATTGGAGAAAATCACAACAGTCTTGGCTCTTGAGTGTGCGAAGCCAAATTCGCTAACGTCGTTTACAAGGTCTTACACTGTGACATACGAAGTCAGTCGAAGATTCGGTACAAATGAACCTACCATTGCTAATTTTCCTGACGTGCTTTCGTTGTATCTTCTCATTACTGGCGCCTGAATAGAAAATTTATCTCAAAAATTTCTTTCAACGCTCTGCTTGATCTGAAATAACTATAGAAACAATAATTATGGACCCATTACTAGGAGAACCTAATAGAATAAATTCATCATCTACAAATTCCTTCGAATTTTGTTTACCTTTTGGGTTACCCCATCCTTCAGTATTTCCACTAAACTCTTGCTGGAACAAAAATGAAAATGGCTCAAATTTTTTCTTTGAAAGACCAAAAATTCGATTATATATGCTGAAGAACAGCACCTGATTCTCGCCTGCCCATATTGTAGAGAAGAGAGGCTTTCAAATCCTCTATATAGGTTGTTGGAGATGGCACGTGCTCTGAAATGCTTGCTAATCAAATGGGAGTATCTGTCTGTCGAAAAGCCAAACGGAACTTTCCAGAATTCAGATGAAAATACGGCCTAATGGGATTACTGTGGCAACTGTGGCAATAAGGTGGGCGATGGCACGGAGCAAACTCGACTGAAATGATCTCTCATCCCATAAAAACTCCATTTTCTAATGCGTCACTGTTTGCCTTGCACTGCTGACCTCGCCTTTATGACAGTGAATCCAGAATTTAAGGAGTTTCCGTTTCTCTATCATAACCAACCTCTGTTGACATCGCGGAATAGGTATGCATTTTGCTACCAATACGGACCACCATAGGTAACACCGGTCACAAAGCTTGAAAATTTGTTTTTCGGATATTCTGTAGAGATTATAAAGAAGTGCAACACTTCAATAGAAAAAAGAAGGAGCGAAATGTCTGTTTAAAGCCTGTAAAAGTTCTGACAGAAAATCTAAAAGTGGGTTTTCCCTGAGTTGCCCAGGCGGATGGTGAGACACCCGAGGAAACCTACCCATGCATATGCTGTGCATTTTCTCGACCAAGAATTAAACTTTATTCGAAAGCATGTATTTAAAGTAGATTTTTTGATGAAATTAGTTGAAATCGAATCAAACCTAGAATTTTTTGCTTTCATATGTTTTTGGAAACAGGAAAAAATTCAGAAGACTGAATGAGTACCGGAAGAAAACCAACCTTTTGCCGTGGTTGACGATTTCTGTAAGAAACCAAGTGGAACCATTGGAAAATTTCCGAGTACCTATAAAGTCATAGTATAAGAAGATGACCGTTCCAGATCCCATGAAGACATTCAGAGAAAAATGAAACTGGTAACAAGTATAATGAATTTTGCTCCAAAACACTGCAGTTTCTATAGACAAAAACCGTGCAGTAAAATGGAAAGCAGAGGGAGCGATATTTTGATATGATATATTTAGCTAGAATAGTCGGTTATTCATGAACCGGGGAGATTCGAAGTGATGTTTCGAGGACCCTCGAAATGGGTTCGCCAACTTTCCATTTTGCTAGCATATACGAGAGGTGCAGAAAGATTTGAATGATGATAATATGTGACCAAATCAGCCGAACAATCTCCTGTAGGGTTTCTCAGGGACGGCGCTCAGAATGAGTCTGAACAGTTGTTTCCATTTCTCAAGGGAGCTCTCAGTCTTCCGAAGAATGTAGTTGAAACAGGGGGGAGCGGCTTTTGTTGGGATAACATTGGCAAGCAAAAGGTTGACCGATTATCAACAGCACAGGCCACTACCCGGTAGGGCTACCGGTGGGAGAAAGATCACGAGCAGAATGAATCACCCACCTACGAATGCACATGCTTACCCTTTATACCACGTAAATGTAAATGTATTGCAAAAACGGTTACCGAAACTGGTTCGCTGGTTTAGAGGAACCACCCTGAGTCCACTTATGGACTGAAAAGCTTTTTTAGAGGTAGTCCTCGATGTTCTGTTGTTGAGAGAGCCAGGTATCATTGAGAAGTACCGAAGCTTAGCAGAGTGGCTTTCCAGGAACGTCATCTCACAAGGCCTATATAGCCGGTTGTCTTATCCACTGTCATACCGGTCTCAAGGTACTAAGGGAGTGATGTTGTGAAAACTACGGAGTGATGTTGTGAAAACTACATCACTTATCTACCAGTTCCATCCTCCCATGGGTCTTACCCACTGTGGGAAGGTAAAGTAGGGTACTTTAGGGATACACTCAATCGCCATCACAAAAAAAAAGAAACGAATTAATAAGTAAGCGTTGATAATTCCGTTTAAAAGGTGGTTTGAGATTTCCCTAATGATAACTTCCGTGGAAGTACGGTAGTGGCTAGTGGGCGTACTATCACATCGGCATAGTCACAGTTCGACTCCCAAACTGATATCCGCCTGAGCCAACCAAGCCTTTCATGTCTATAGGGTCAGTTTAGTGGCACCGGACTCGTCTGGGTAATTGTAATTGTACAGGCCAGTCCAAAGGTTGAGCCGCTAGAATTTATGAATAATTCCACCTAGATATGATCAGATTTGGTTCCTTTGGAGGTCCCAAAATATTATTATCACAAATTACAGACATGAATAGACCTCACTCATAGTACCACACTACTGACCTGAGAGTAACTGGTATGAACCTGCTGTTTAGGGACACCGTGGTATGCTACCGCATAACTCATAAAATATTAGTATCCAAAGCGGTAGATTCGATAAAAACGACGCATTATCTTACACAACTTTACAATAAATATGAAAAAGCTGGTCAACTGGTACTCGAAACTACGACAACAGAACAACAAATCGAACTTTTCGAAGCAAAGTGGCAAAAAATGCTTTTGAGAGTCAGTTTAACAAAAATAGCATCGGTATGCGACGGATCGGGCTACTTATCGAGAAAAATTAGAACTTCTTTCTGAACAAACAGAATTTGACTAGGCAAAGCGCAAGGTAATCAGCTTAAGTGGCAAGACGACCGCGTCGCGATCAGCAGATCAAAAGATCAGCGAGGAAATAAAATTGGCAGATCAATTGCAAACCGAAAAGCAGAGGCTACCTGGAAAAAGTAAAGCATGACAGCGGAATTCCCCGATTTATTTCCTCGTCAAGTGTGTTACCATTACTTGTTGACAGATCTTACACAATAAGTTTGTGTACNTTTGAGAGTCAGTTTAACAAAAATAGCATCGGTATGCAACGGATCGGGCTACTTATCGAGAAAAATTAGAACTTCTTCCCAAACAAACAGAATTTGACTAGGCAAAGCGCAAGGTAATCAGCTTAAGTGGCAAGACGACCGCGTCGCGATCAGCAGATCAAAAGATCAGCGAGGAAATAAAATTGGCAGATCAATTGCAAACCGAAAAGCAGAGGCTACCTGGAAAAAGTAAAGCATGACAGCGGAATTCCCCGATTTATTTCCTCGTCAAGTGTGTTACCATTACTTGTTGACAGATCTTACAAAACAACTTTGTGTATCTATTTGCACAATAACAATGTGTCACTGTTGACAGCGCAGGGAAGCACCGAAGAGCGTGGAAAGGATGTCCGGGTGGCTTCTCACAGGTTGACACCCACTATTATCAGCATTTGTTGCTCCTCCTTTCAAAAAAAGAAAGGATTACTACTTCAGATCTAAAGGTGCCAATGCCGAGTGGCTCCATTCATACCTCCCTACCTGGCCGATGAGCGAAGGGCGACAGCCGACGCGTAGCGAACGTTGTCATCGATTGATCTACCAAGTGATCGATATTTGAAAAAGAAAGGAAGCACTATGTAAATTCCATTGCAGTACTTAATCCATGTCAAGGCTGAAATCCTAGCCTGAGCTGAGCGGCGTGAATCATTGACCACATTACACACCTGCAACGCAACACATACCTCCGCCGCTTGACGCGTCTCCAGCGACGCGGAGTATAAAAGCATCCACCAGCACCTTCGCGAATGAACGATAGGTATAAAACATACCGAATGAACTCCACGTAGCCACGATAAGCACCAAATCTACATCCATCTACGATTTCTATAGCAATCCATAACTCTCGAAATGAAAATCTTTAGAAAATTATCGTTTCTTCATGCCCTCCATCTCGACAACCGTTTTCAATTTAATGCCAGAAGAAATAAAATTCATCCATTTGAGCGCAAACAGCGCTTCAAGCAACAGATAACAACAATAGAAAATTTCAACAAAAACAACAAATCTCAACTAATCATCCATTACGGAGTTTCACAAAATTGAAAACGTACAACATAAGGCGGAATAAATTAAAAGAGATGAAAACTGTGTTGCTTTTGTAAGGCACATCTAGCAAAGAGAGAACTGAAATTGAGAACAACACCACTCCCGAGAAATCATATTGAAAAATGTATCACAGCTTTTAACATGATTTTTAGCAATTCATAACCAGCAATTTGGAAATCTTCAAAGAGGGTGCTTTGTAGGACTTGTTCGATGACTGTTTCGCCGAGCCCGCGTGGGACTTTTTGAAGAACTACTGTGAGAGCTGTTTTTGTGTGATCGTGCAGGACCTTGTAAGGACATTGTTGTATCTATACGAAGCTGGATTTCCGCCCATCTCTCCGTCCAATATCGACGTTCCTCCAGCACTATTTTCGCATTCTCGGGACTAAACACAGTCGCACAATTATTATTTTCAAAATTAAGACCTAAAAATACAAGAAGACACGTTTTTCTACTGATACTGCTCAGCTATAGGAACCACAGTCAAGCACGGCATCGCAAAAGCCTTTTTCTTGATAGAGTCCTCGAAATTCCAAAACTACCATTACCAAAAACCACCTCTTCTAATATGCTTTATTCGAAAATACGGTTAGGGATCGTAACCATGAACACTGCGATGATTTTTCAGCGCCGTTTGAGTAAAGTTTCTATCACATTCTTTTCCGAAAAAATCGTTTAGAACTTGCTCTTAAGACTATACACAGACTGTACATATAAAGCTTTGAGGGCGGTGATAAAGCAATATTATTTGGGACTAGGATTATGTTAATATGTGGTTTCAGGAGAAAACAAAAGTGCTGGCGCTGTAGACGTTGCACTCATAATCACCATTACCATTAACCACAATATACTATTCAACTGTTTACCCGAGGAAGTATAGGCACATGAGACTGATGGGTCAAAGTAAAAGCAAAGCGATTACCTTTCCAAGAAAAGTGGATCCGGAGTAATTCGTAATTTCCAAGATCTATTTCCAGGTACTGCAAACGACGACAAAATTTCTTCAGCATCTCTCGAATTTATTTGAAAACATCTACAAACAGAAATCAATCGAATAGCTCACACGTGGTTGAAAAGTTTCATAAAATCTTGACAGAAAATCCTATAAAAAAGAACTAGCTCTGAAAGCAAAAGGGTAGGTAGGTTGAGTGCTGACGAAAATAAAGTCGCTGAATCTCGTGAAACTGAGCTTTCATAGGCATCCAGCTGAACTTACCTTGTAAGCAGAGACCGAGTGACGGTTCGTCCTGCATCGAGAAGGCATAATGCGAGATCACGGGCGCATCGCCACATATCGGCACGATGTTCATCCAGCTTAAACTATTCGTCATAGAGAAAAAATTGCACAGAGTGGATCTGACCAGCTTCACAGTTCCACAATTACGAGTGGATAATGAAACATATTAGTAATGCCGTAAACAAGATAAGCAAAATATACATGGAAAATATTGGTAACTAAGAACCTCTGGCACAGGTAGTCAGCTCCCTGACGACAGCACGGCTCAAGGGTGAATCGCACACTTTTAATTGGCTGTTTTTCCTTATTTTCCATTTCTTCCGAGTTTTTTGAACTTAAATGACTTGAGAGATCGGAATTTGGGATCTTTCGGAAATAGTTATTGTATGGAAGGTACTGGCAGCTCGAACTCGCAGGTAAGACTTGCTTTTACAAAAATAAACTGGAAAACTGAAGCCCATTATAAGTCATCACATTAGGAAACCAATTAATAACCTTCTACAGCCTACATAATAAACTGTACTAATGAGTTGGACCACTAGTTTTTCAAATCCACTCTCTCGAGCCGTCTACTTTGAGTTGTGCCATTTCGAATATCTCTATTTTGCGTAAAAATAAATTTGGAGATAGGAAGAATTCTATAATGATCTTATTTACAGCTACATCGAGCCGAAGCATGAAAACGGGGTAAAAGTAAAATTGTTCACATAAGGGAGAAGGAACAGTATGGAAGAGCGCTTCAATAAAGTTGATAGAAATTCTAACACATGTTAGACGTCAAAGACGCAAAAAGGCGTGCTGCCGCCAAATAATTAAATAACATATTTGCAAGAGTAAACATACCTTTCCTGGTGTAATGGAGTGCGCAGCGGTGAGATCATGGTATAAAAACTCTGACTGGAAAACCCAAACACCTAAAAGCTTGCAAAAAATTCAAAAAATAATACCAAGAGACGGCTACGAAAATGAAGAAAGTCCGACCTTGAACTAAATGGGCACACTGTTGGAGATACTCGAAAAGCTCGTTGCGACTTATGGACGGAACCAATCTAGCTATATCATCCGTTGCAACGACCCGCGCTGAACCAAGCAAAATTATTTACATTCGGAAACAAGTTCGGGCTCTTCAAAGGTACAAAAATAACATAATTTGAATTTTCGAAAGATGAGACAAAAAAAAGCACAAACCTTTAAAAAGTTGTGCTTTCACTTGCTGATCGATAGGCATTTCTCGAATACGTTGATGAGAGACCAGTAAATCGCTTCGAGTGAGATCACTAATAAAAAAAATTTTTTAGCTGCTGTTATAAAGGCGATCTAAACTTATATTTTACACGCTGTAAGATTTTTACTGAATTACTGAACCTACATTTGCTCCCTTTCCCCACAAATAATTCCGCGTTCCACGAGATCTCTAGTTTCGATAATATCCGATGGGTCGTATCCCTCAGATGGAAGTGTAGTCATTTGAGAAAATTTTTCAACCACAGAAGGATCCTACAAAGTGGAAAAAAGATGTAACAATGAAAACGTCTGCGTATTCGATTTGAAAATACGATAGCTCATGACCCTAGGAAAATTAACTATAGCGAACCAAACCTCTTTTAGATGAACATCCATAGGAATCCATGAATCGCTCGCAATCAATTTTTCCCTATGAAGAGCACTTGCTTCCCTTCTTTTCTTTTGCCGCTCCGTTTCTGGTCTCACGAATTTCACACGTATCTCAAGTGACACAATTAAACACTGAGACTTTGGACGGTATGATTATAGGTAGCATCATTACAAACGGAGCTCTTGTCGAAACAATATTTCAAATTCATAGATAGGAAAGGCTCAACAGAGGACCTATTGATAGAGAGCGAGTTACTTCGAATACTCAGAAAGGAGAGACAATGCCTACCTGTTTGGCACTGGTGCCAGCAGCTTCAGTGTCCGACTCGCCAGTCATTTCTCCTAAATTGAAATGCCTCGCTCAACTTTGCAAAGATTAACTTGATTAAAACTCTACCTTCGTCGTCACCTTTGCCTTTGCCAGCATTGTTCAAATGGGCAAGCGAGCGATGCATATCAAATGTCCCCGCGATTGGATTTATATAGAATGTGTCTGAAACATTTTGCAATAGTATACTCCATACAGCTCGTAGCGGCATCCATTATAACATAAAAGTTTCATTCACGTTATTTCATTAACACAAAAAGTTTCATTCACGTTATTTCAGTAACACATTCGTGTTTCATAGCTACAAGAGCGGGTGTGGCACAGTGGCATGGGGCGCACCACCACACACTCCAAGTCCGAAGATCTGATCTTGGATCGATACACGGCAACCAGACCTCTCATACTTCCGGGTTAGGTTTATTGGTACGGGACTCGTCTGGGAGGATAAAACCACTAGCATGTATCGGTGAACGCAATTCAATGTAAGGCCACTTAGGCACTCAATAAGGACCAAAGGCTTCGAATGGAAGTCCAATGCGGGGGTGTCGAAAACAAGTTGCACTATCGTCAGGGACTACTTCCTTCGCTGATACAAAACAGTACAAATTTCATCTATCTGCACAATAGTCACACTTGCGTTCATCAATGTAAAGACCGTATTCGATTCGAAAATGCGAGACAAAGCTGACTACAAGCTACAAGCCTACTCACCTCCTCTGAAATAACCGACTGCGAATTGGACAAAGTCATCTTTCACATAGGCTCTTCCTTCGTAAACCTCATCG